CTGAGTTTCAGTTACACATTTCCTAATTTCATTAATTAATCCAGTGATTTCAATGAAACCATCCCTGTCCTGGAAACCAGAGATAGATTTAAAGAACCCCCTGAATCCACTCCTCAGTAGTAAATAAAGCTGAGTTTTGTAAAAGTAAAGTGTTGCTTAAATACAGGACCTTCAAAGCATTTCTGTCTTCTTGTAAAAGATGAGAATTTAATCTTTAATCACCGAATACCCATTTATCAGATAAAGAAGCCAGTGCTGATATTATCAGAGGTGCTGGTTATATTGTGGTAAAAACTGCTATGCAGAGCTGTATTATTACTGTTTTAAATACCTTACTACAGTATTTACATTAATTATCTATGTTAGGAGAACAAATAGGTGAGATTTTAGGAGGAAGTTTGTTTGGGGAATTGGTTTTTGGATAACTAAAAGTGGGCTAAAAAACCAGGCAGGAGGTTATGAAAAATATCTTTGACTGGGGGGTGGTTGTAATGGTAAACATGACATCATATTTAAAGTGTCATCCCATTGTTTTCCAAGAGGAATCTGATGAATTCCCTGTGCCTTGTGTTGAAGCTTTACTCCTTTGTGTCAACATTTTAGTGAGGTTTCTACTTTAATTTATAAATTAAATAGATACATAGATAGCTATTCCAATACAGTCTGGATTTGTTCCCTACGATGTACATACTTTCTTCTCCTTTTATAAAAATGCCTGTTTACCTGCACATAGTTTGTGTCTTTTGTGAATGACACCACACGCAAATCATAGCCCATAAATTCACTTACAGGTGAATTCACTTTCCCTTTGCGGGTGGGTTTTAGGTCCCTGTGCTGAGGCAACCACGCCATCTGCTGTTTGCCAGTCAGGCCCGGGAACTGTCAATGGATTTAGGAGAAACCTCAGTGGATTTAGAATGAAGAAACATCAAAAAGACTGTAATCACTATAAAATTAGATGGCTGGAGAGAGGACAGAGTCCTGCTAGTGCCTGTGTAAGGGAAAGGCAGCAACACCCACTGAGCCCTAGCACTGTGGAATCTGCACAGGAGAAAGCCTGAAACCTCCCATGGCAAGAACAGCAGCTTGCTCTTACAGCAGGAATTAATCAACCATAAGTCACAAAGCCACACTAATTGTGGAACTGAGAGAGCAAGGGCAAAGAGGGCAGAGACAAACTCTCTCTAGTTATGGCCATGCTAAAATTCTTGAAATTATGAGCTTTGTGAGTTGCCTTTCCCTGAAGCTGGAGCAATGGGGAGGTGTCCATCCCTTTGTCCCTTCCCTCAGCTTGGGGGTACAGCCCTTTCCCTCCTGTCCCCTCTCCTGTATGCCTGAGTGCATTTCTGTGTGAGCCCACTCACCAGTGCAGTGGAGGTTCCTTGGAATCAAAGTGTTGTGATGAAAAACATTAGCTCTGAGTGGCCAGACAGCAAAAGTGTGCTTCACTCCTGAACTCCTCTGGGTACAGTGAGCTTGGAGTGAGGCAAAATCCTCAAGGATCTGGATGTTTAACAGTGGCTGATGCATAAAGTTATATAGCAAAACAAACATGTTTTGATGATCCAACTGGGAATGGAGTATATGTCTGAAACTTTGGCTTTTATCATTCCTTAAGGCTTCAAGGGCACTCTTGTTAATAAAGTGATGGTTCCTGGACATGTGTTGCTCTACCCTGGGAGAGCAGTGAAATCTTGCACTCACTCAATAAATAAATGTTCTGGAGGTTGCTCTGTCCTGCCTCATAGAAACCAAAGGTTGAGACCCAAAGGTTGGCTTGCTTCAAAACATTTTCATTTATTCATAGGACACAGCTTTTTCTTCTTTTTTTTTTTTTTTTTCCCTTTAGGGCTATGCAGTTAGCAGGAAAAATAGCTAATGAGGTAAATTGTTTTAAATCAAACTCTGGAACAATTATGAAAGCAGTCAAACAAGAAGGGCTGTGCTGTCCTTACCTGTGAAGCTGCCCTGAAAAGAGCCTGGAGCTGAGCCAGGGAGACAACGTGCTTGTCTGTGTCACCAGAGAAAGGAAATGTGTGTCCCTGCTCCAAATGACAGCAGAGGGTGTAACAGCAAAGGGCCAGACACCCTTATCAGCACAGGAACAATCAGTCAGCTCTAAGATCCCTTTGCAACAGGTGAGAAGTAGGACGTGTGACCTGTTAGGTGCAGACCTGGAGCTGAGTGACTCGGGGCTCAAACAGCCCAATGACACATTGCTGCATCTTTGCTCCTCTGACAAACAAGTACAGTTCTGCAAATGCCAAACCCAAACCATCGCATCAGGAGTCCCCAAAGAATGTGTCACTTTCTGCACCAAAAGCTGTGCCATAGTAAATGCACATTGTTGCAAGCAGTTTGCTTAAAGAAATTCACAGGGATAGAGGCTTTTCTGCCTTTTAGCTTGGCAGTGCCTGGTTACCACATTGATCGGTGGCCAAAAGCATCACTCACAAATGTATGGTTTCATCCATCTAGCTTTCCTCAAACTCAGAAACTGAAATGGGTATTCTAGTAGTTAGTGTAAAAAATTGCAATCCTTGGGAATCACAGAGCACCAAGCCAAGAGCATCAGTGCTTTCTCAAGCCACCACTCAGTTTCCTTAGCTAGAAGTCCTAACCTGTTTTAATTCTTTGGAGAAGCCATTCTGTGCTCATGATTCCCACAATTTTCCCTACCCCCTTCTGGCTACTCTTTCTGAGTTGTGGAGAGGGATCCTACAATGTATTCCTCAGCTGAAAACAATGTCATTTTCTGGGGTTTGTTACCTTATTCTTTTTTCCTCATTCTGAAAGACATATTTGTAAATCTCCATTAAACCAAAAAACAAAAGTTATGTTGATTGTGATTAAACATTCAATTGTTATAGGGCTAAGGAATAATTAAGACACGATCTTAGCTGCATTTAAGGATAAGTTAAAAGGATTAAAACCTCCTTTTAAAGGATGAGAAGACATCTTTGATATTTTGCTAAGCTAATAAGCTACATTTGACCTCTAGAATCAGTTGGTGTTTGGGGAAGAAAGACCTTTCCCCTTGCTTACCCACTACAGCTAACCTGTGACTGCAGCTAGTCAGCCCACGTTAAACAAAGTGTCGGAATCTGACACACACAAAGACTTTAGATTCTGAAGTCTGTGGGATGGTCTAATTTAAGAAAGTACTATTAAAAGAGAGCTCTCCAGAAAGTTAGGATGTAGGTTTTCTGGATTCTTTAGCCCATTGTACCCAAACTACTGGCATAAAAAGCACATAAGCAATATGAAAGGTGGAGGAAGGGTTTAAAATGGCTAAAAAAATGGGAAAAATAATTAATTTTCATTACAGAAATATAGATTAGTTGCAGAACTTGGCTGTTACAGCTGTTCACAATGACCACCATATAGACACACACCAACTTTGATTGCATTGGGTTATCCTAATGTCAGTAATCAATGCTTACACTGATTTGATCAAGCTCCCTGGATGATATACACACACAGAATGGAGCTTTTGGAGTACTTGGCATTCCTGTCCTGCCAGGATGACCCTGAACAGCTGCCAGCCCCAGCGAGAGCCAAGCCCTGTGTCTGGAGCTGTGAAATATTCATTGCAATGTTTGAGCTACAACAGCTCCTGCCCCAAAATGAGAGTGCCATAAACAGGCTGTTTCCCCATAGCTGGGGAGTCAGGCAGGCAGCAGGCTAGAAACGATCAGATAGATGTGTTGTTTGTTTTGACAAAGTAACAGATTGCATTTGCGCTCGGGAGGCAACAGGCAGATGGGCTTGGCACAACCCACAGAGGGCAGGCCCTGCTCCTGCTGAGTGGGGAGAGCTCTGCTCGACTCCAGCACGGCACAGATGAGGGCTGGGAACAGCTCTTCCTCGAACAGCTCCATCCCAATGGCTGGAAATTGCAGGTGCTGTGACCAGAAGTCTCTGACTGCTCTAAAAAGCAGCTGGTTCCAAGGGTGGTGTTAGTGCAGAACAATTCACACCCAGTAACTGATCCAGTGCTGCCTTGCTCTGATCTGCTCTGCTCAAAAATTCTTTATTGTGCCACAAGCAGCTGGTTCCAAGGGTGGTGTTAGTGCAGAGCAATTCACACCCAGTAACTGATCCAGTGCTGCCTTGCTCTGATCTCTGCTCAAAAATTCTTTATTGTGCCATAAAGCGACCCCAAATCTTCCAGAAAATATTTGAAGCAACATAAAATATCCGTGTAAATGCTATTAATATTTAGATTAAGGATAGGCTGTATCCACTGGAGAAATAGAGTGGAATATGAGTTTATGGTGAGATTATTAAAAATCACAACAGCACAAAAATTGGTATTAAAATTCAGACATCTATGACAGACTTAAAAAGTGTTACACTGTGAAAATTTTCAATGTCCTCTCTCGCACTTCTCCAGCGCTCCTGTTTCCTTCAGGAGAATGTTGTTTATAAACAGAAAAATGTTGTTATAAACAGAGGGAGTTCTCCTAATGTTGAAAGTTTGCCTCACACAAAGACTTTTTTTTTTTTTCCTTGAAAGACCTCCCACATGCTCGTGTTCTTATCACACAGCAACTATTTGATGTTAAACTCTAACGAACTGGGAATGTTTTCAAAAACTTGGGATGCTTACTCTGCCTCATCTCAAATTATTTTAAATTCCAAAACCACACACCACATTGTATGGGTTGTAAGGGTTTTTGGATGCAGTTATTTGTATCTGGAAATAGAAAAATGTAAAAGCTTTTTTTTCTTTTCACATGGGTTTTACATTGTCATTAATGTTTATGCTTAGTGCTTGAAAAGCTTCTTGAGCTTCCTCCTACCCTCACAATATGGTTCAATACACTGATATCTTCTTCCTTTGATAAATTCCAAATCCCAGTGGGCAAGATGAAGGTAAGGCTTCCTCTTACATGCAAAATAAGTCAAATTCATACATGAGTTTTTTCTCCTATGGTCTCGAGGCATCTTGAACTGGTTTTCAAAAAGAAGTGAGGAAGAGAACAGACTCCAGAGAATTAATCCACACCAAACATTGAGGCTGTTACTCAATGCTTGAAAAGAGAAAAGGTATTCTTTATTTCCATTTAAACAGCAGTCAAAATCCAGCTGTGTAAAGGGAACTGCTTTACCCAAGGCTACAGGAAAAGGCAGGTCCTGAACTCATGCCCTCTTTCTTCATGAGATGGTGTGATCCACAATAAACATAACCTGGGGAAATATTCCATTGCTTTTTTACCCACCAAATCCCATTCTGTGCAGACATAAAATTGCTTACTTTGGCAGAGCCAAAAACCAAGCTCAAGTGAATCTTTTATGATTTTTTACAGTGGCAAAGAGAATGCTGAATGCATGAATGGTTCTTTCTCTCTGTTGTTCCCAGACACCCTCCTAAAGTAACACTGCAAGCAAGCAGGAGTGGCCTGTGTTTATAATGTATCTCCTAGTGCACTACAGTAGCACCCAAATGTCTTTATAGCAAAACCAGTGCAACAAAGTACTTGTATAGGAATGATGATACAAACCCGGTGTGATGTAAAAATGTACCTGGGAGCAGTTAAAGAGGTGTAGCCCTGTACTCTCCTGTTTGCACCAGCCCCTGCTCACGGATTTGGCGCTGCCAAGACTCATGGCACAATCGCTTATTGCGTCTCTCGGAGCTCGAGCTCTTGAACTGCAGGGAAGGAAAGAAAAGCCCTCAGCTTCCATTCAGGAGGGAACTTTGCAGCCCTCAAGGACGAGTTGGGAAGCCTGTGAGCGCCCAGAACGCTCCAGTGCAATACAACACAAAGAGCTGCCGGCACTCTTTGTTACAGCCCTTCCAAGCCCACTTGGGGATGCTGGAATATTCGGGTTCCAGGCACCGCAGCGAGGCGCTCAGGCCCCCCTGCCAAAGGGACAGAGGGATGGGTGGCTCTCTCTAACAAAAACCAGGCACTCCTCGAGCTTTAGCCCAGTCTGGGATTGCCTTGAGACCTCTCCATCTCCGAACTCCTCCACCCTGGGAAAGGATGGGAAGGCTTCCTGCCTTTATGCTCCCGGCTACCACAAGCCCGCTGGGACCAGGGTCAGGGGGGCCCTTTCTCTGCTGGGCGGGGAGGGGTCCTGCCCCCACTGCAGCCCTGGGGCCCGGGCTGGGAGGGCGGCAGCCAGGAGAGGGGGGCTGTAGCGGGCCCGGGCTGCAGTGACTCCTCCTAGAGGCGGTATGTGCGGAGCGGGAGGAAACCCCTGCCGCCCCCCTCACCAGCAGCCGCCATCGCCATTGAAACATACAATACGGGGAGAGCGGCTGAGGCGGAGCCGAGAAGGGAAAGGGGGAGGAAAGGGGAGGGGGGGCAAGGAGAGGAGGAAAAGAGGGGGAGGAAAAAGAGGAAGGGAAGACAAGAAGGAGGAGGCGGCGGCGGCGGGCGCCGGCAGGTGAGGGCAGCGGCGGCGCGGGGGTTGCGGGGGCCGCGGCGAGGCCCTGCTCCTCTCCTTCCCTCTCTCCTCGGCCGCACGACCCACCTCCTCCTCCTCCTCCTCCTCTTCCTCCTCCTCTTCCCGGCGCCGCTGCCGTTCTGCGGGCGGGCCCGGCCATGGCCGAGGCCGTGAGGGGGGCGGGTGAGGGGCGGCCATAAAGGGAGGGGGGGCGCGAGGCGGCAGGGGCCGCGGGTAAGCTCTGCACGGGGGGGAGAGGTGGTAAGGGTGG